CATGTGGGGGTCCCCAGGGTGCGCTGCCCCCCAACTGCCTTGCCACACTGCCCACATGTGTGCCCCTACCCCTGACATCCCCTCCCCATGGCACACAGCAGCACAGCAGCTTGCTGCCCCACTTTGGGGTACCAGAGGTCTCAGAGCCCAGGGCTGTGGCAGGGGCAGCAGCAGCACAGCCGGGAGTATGAGCAGGTTCCATGGTCCTGTCCCTCTTGTCCCCATGGGCCGCACCAGGGGGACATCCCCATGTGGGACACCTCTTGCTGCCAGTGATGCCCCGACCCATCCTCCTGCTCTCCCAGGCGCTCCCCCGGCTTCTTTGGCCATCACCCCAGACCAAGCTGATGATTTTGGGAGGCTGATGGGCATCAGCACCAGGTCACCATCCCCAGCTGCAAGTGCCAGCCCTGCATCGCCCCGCATGCATCACCCCATCACCTGCACGGGCACCCCACAGCCGTGCTTGGCACCCTGGGTCAGGCTGCCCCACATGGGTCCCCATCCCCATGCGCCATTGTCCCATGCAGGTTGGTCCCATGTCCCCACTACAACCAGGACCTCCGGCCGTGGCCCCCGGCCCCTCTGCCTGCAGCTTGGGGCAGTTTGGAACCCCCATCTCCAGAAAGGGCGCGCACTGAGCCCTTCCTCCACCTCCCTCGGTTTCCTGATGCGTTTTGGAGGCTTCCTGCCCCTGTTCCCCCTGGGCTGCCCATGGGGTGCTGGGGATGGCTCACACTGCCCCCGCTTACAGCCCTCAGGTGGTGCCCGGGAGCCGCTTTCCCTCCAGTTGCTTCCTTTCGGGTCCTTGGGGCATCGCTGGGGTTTTCCAACGGTTTCAGCGGTGCTCGGGGAGGTTCCTCCCTTGCAAAACGGAATTAGCCTGAGCCCATCTCTTGCCGTGGCCGCCCCTGGAGGAGCAAGCTCCTTGGGGCAGGACCTCCAGCTTGGGTCCGGCCCCACGCATCCCAACCCTGAGAGCAGGACCCGGAGCTCCGTGCCGATGGACGGACATCCCCCAGCTGAGCTCCTGCTCCTTCCTGACACAGAATCCCCCAGGGCTGCAGGGATTTGTTAGGCAAATCCCAGCCTCAGCCCCAGCGAGGTCCGGTGCCCGGCAGAGACTCTGCGGGTCCAGGCTGGGGGGGGGCCCTGCTCAGAGCATCCTGGCCCCACGGGGATGTGGGGACCTTGGTGTGCATCGCAGCCCGGGCGGGATCTGCGATGCTCCAGAGCACCCCAGACCTTCCCCGCTCCTGGGTTTGCTCCTGTGCAGCTGCTGTGGCAGGGAGCAGGTTCCTGCTGGGGTTCCCCAGCACCAGGAAGTTGAACCCCATCAGGAGGCTGCTTTGGCTCGGCCCCGTTGGCCCCATGTCCTGTGCTGCAGGGACGTGCCTGCGCCTCAGCAGGGCCGCGGTGCAGGAGCTGCTGCAGTGCCCAGCGACAGACAAAGCGCTTGCTCTGGGCCTGCTTGCCCCCCAGGCTCTGTCGCATGGATTCACTGCTCTTTCCCAGTTTCACTTTCTGCTCCCCCTGGCAAGGCCCCTTGTCCCCGGGCTGTGGGTTCGGCTTCAATAACCTCAATAGCATCATCGCTCTGGCCTTCACTGGTGACGGGCTCTGGGCTGATGTCACCCAACGGGTGGGAGGTTTTCCTTGACCTTGGGGCTCTGGAGGCTGTGCGGGTGCTGAGTTCATCCCACTGTCCCATCCCCATCCCATTGCCCCCTCCATATCCCACTGCTCCATCCATATCCCACTGCTCCATCCCTATCCCACTGCTCCATCCATATCCCACTGCTCCATCCCTATACCACTGCCCCATCCCTGTCCCACTGCCCCATCCCTGTCCCACTGCTCCATCCCTGTCCCACTGCCCCATCCGTATCCCACTGCCCCATCCCTATCCCACTGCCCCATCCCTGTCCCACTGCCCCATCCCTATCCTACTGCTCCATCCCTATCCCACTGCCCCATCCCTGTCCCACTTCCCCATCCCTATCCCACTGCCCCATACCTGTCCAACTGCTCCATCCCTATCCCACTGTTCCATCCATATCCCACTGCTCCATCCCTATCCCAGTGCCCCATCCCTATCCCACTGCCCCATCCCTGTCCCACTGCTCCATCCCTATCCCACTGCCCCATCCTTGTCCCACTGCCCCATCCCTATCCCACTGCCCCATCCCTGTCCCACTGCCCCATCCCTATCCCACTGCTCCATCCCTATCCCACTGCTCCATTCCTGTCCCACTGCCCCATCCCTATCCCACTGCCCCATCCCTATCCCACTGCTCCATCCCTGTCCCACTGCCCCATCCCTGTCCCACTGCTCCATCCCTGTCCCACTGCCCCATCCCTATCCCAGTGCTCCATCCCTATCCCAGTGCCCCATCCCTGTCCCACTGCCCCATCCCTATCCCACTGCTCCATCCCTGTCCCACTGCCCCATCCCTATCCCACTGCTCCATCCCTATCCCACTGCCCCATCCATACCCCACTGCCCCATCCATACCCCACTGCCCCATCCATATCCCACTGCCCCATCCATATCCCACTGCTCCATCCATATCCCACTGCCCCATCCCTATCCCACTGCTCCACCCCTATCCCACTGCTCCATCCATATCCCACTGCCCCCTCCATATCCCACTGCCCCATCCCTATCCCACTGCTCCACCCCTATCCCACTGCTCCATCCATATCCCACTGCTCCATCCATATCCCACTGCCCCATCCCTATCCCACTGCTCCATCCCTATCCCACTGCCCCATCCCTATCCCACTGCTCCATCCCTATCCCACTGCCCCATCCCTGTCCCACTGCCCCATCCCTATCCCACTGCTCCATCCCTATCCCACTGCCCCATCCCTATCCCACTGCTCCATCCCTGTCCCACTGCCCCCATCCCTATCCCACTGCCCCATCCCTGTCCCACTGCTCCATCCCTGTCCCACTGCTCCATCCATATCCCACTGCTCCATCCCTATCCCACTGCTCCATCCATATCCCACTGCCCCATCCATATCCCACTGCTCCACCCCTATCCCACTGCTCCATCCCTATCCCACTGCCCCATCCCTATCCCACTGCCCCATCCCTATCCCACTGCTCCATCCCTATCCCACTGCCCCATCCCTATCCCACTGCCCCATCCCTATCCCACGGCCCCATCCCTATCCCACTGCCCCATCCCTGTCCCACTTCCCCATCCCTATCCCACTGCCCCATCCCTATCCCACTGCTCCATCCCTGTCCCACTGCCCCCATCCCTATCCCACTGCCCCATCCCTGTCCCACTGCTCCATCCCTGTCCCACTGCTCCATCCCTATCCCACTGCTCCATCCCTATCCCACTGCCCCATCCATATCCCACTGCTCCATCCCTATCCCACTGCCCCATCCATATCCCACTGCCCCATCCCTATCCCACTGCTCCATCCCTATCCCACTGCTCCATCCATATCCCACTGCTCCATCCCTATCCCACTGCTCCATCCCTATCCCACTGCTCCATCAATATCCCACTGCTCCATCCCTATCCCACTGCTCCATCCCTATCCCACTGCCCCATCCCTATCCCACTGCTCCATCCCTATCCCACTGCCCCATCCCTGTCCCACTGCTCCATCCCTGTCCCACTGCTCCATCCATATCCCACTGCTCCATCCCTATCCCACTGCTCCATCCATATCCCACTGCCCCATCCATATCCCACTGCTCCACCCCTATCCCACTGCTCCATCCCTATCCCACTGCCCCATCCCTATCCCACTGCCCCATCCCTATCCCACTGCTCCATCCCTATCCCACTGCCCCATCCCTATCCCACTGCCCCATCCCTATCCCACGGCCCCATCCCTATCCCACTGCCCCATCCCTATCCCACGGCCCCATCCCTATCCCACTGCCCCATCCCTATCCCACTGCTCCATCCCTATCCCACTGCCCCATCCCTATCCCACTGCCCCATCCCTATCCCACGGCCCCATCCCTATCCCACTGCCCCATCCCTATCCCACGGCCCCATCCCTATCCCACTGCCCCATCCCTATCCCACTGCCCCATCCCTATCCCACTGCTCCATCCCTGTCCCACTGCCCCCATCCCTATCCCACTGCCCCATCCCTGTCCCACTGCTCCATCCCTGTCCCACTGCTCCATCCCTATCCCACTGCTCCATCCCTATCCCACTGCCCCATCCATATCCCACTGCTCCATCCCTATCCCACTGCCCCATCCCTGTCCCACTGCTCCATCCCTGTCCCACTGCTCCATCCCTATCCCACTGCTCCATCCCTATCCCACTGCCCCATCCATATCCCACTGCTCCATCCCTATCCCACTGCCCCATCCCTATCCCACTGCCCCATCCCTGTCCCACTGCTCCATCCCTGTCCCACTGCTCCATCCCTATCCCACTGCTCCATCCCTATCCCACTGCCCCATCCCTATCCCACTGCCCCCATCCCTATCCCACTGCCCCATCCCTATCCCACTGCCCCATCCTTGTCCCACTGCCCCATCCCTATCCCACTGCCCCATCCTTGTCCCACTGCCCCATCCCTATCCCACTGCTCCATCCCTATCCCACTGCTCCATCCCTGTCCCACTGCTCCATCCCTGTCCCACTGCTCCATCCCTATCCCACTGCCCCATCCCTATCCCACTGCCCCATCCCTATCCCACGGCCCCATCCCTATCCCACTGCCCCATCCCTATCCCACGGCCCCATCCCTATCCCACTGCCCCATCCCTATCCCACTGCTCCATCCCTGTCCCACTGCCCCCATCCCTGTCCCACTGCCCCATCCCGGTCCCTCCGCAGCCGCCCCCAGTGGTGTTTCCCCGCACGATGCCCCCGTGATGTGACGCAGGCACCAAGGAGGGCTTTGAGCAAGAGAGGGGAGAGAAAAGCGGCCCCGCGGCCGTCCCCCGGCGCGGGGAGAAGGAAGTTGCCTCTTGGGCCACTCCTCCTCTCCATTTCCTCCCGGCCGCGGCCGCAGCCGGCTGGGGAGGGCAGAGGAGCGGCCGGCCCTGCCGAGGCTGCGGGGGACCCGCGGGGACGCTGCGGTAACTGCGCTCGGTTCGGCGGCCCCGTCCCGCTCCCCTTTCCCTGCGCGCCCCTTGGCCTCTGCCACCTCCATCTCCGTCCCCGCCACCACCTCCTGCTTGTCCCCAGTGGCCCCTTTGCTCCAAAACCCACCGCAGGTTCATGGGGACCCTCCTGTTCCCGCTGGTTTCAGGTGCTCAGGGCTCTTCCCTCCTCTTGCTTCCCTTCCCGTCGCTTGGCGTTTGGGATTGGCAGTTGTTTGTGCGGGGAGCGGGGCTGGATGGCTTTGGTGGCACGCAGGCTTTCGGGGTGGCACGGTGGGGTTTGCGTTGCCCTGGTGTCACCCTTGTGCGGTGGTTCTGGGGAGGGCGAGCGCCTGCACACCCCGACACAACCCCGGGCACAATCCGTGCTGCTCAGCTTGCTTCCGAGCGGTGTCCCTGGGGAGCTGAGCTCGGGGCGTGGGGCTGTGCCCTGTGCTGGGGCCATGCTGGTCGCCGGTGTTGGCCCCTGACACCCTTTGACGCACTGCTCGCGCTATGAGGGGCCGTTTTCCTCCACGTTCCCCCTGGAAGGGCTCAGTTTTGGCCGGAGGGGCTCAGCTTCCAGCTGTGGGGGGATCAACCTTTGGGATTTTCCAGCTGTTCCCTTATCCCAGCAGCTTTGCTAACCCGAGGAACCTGCACCTGGGGGGCAGCTCCCTCCTCCCCAGTGCCAACTTCGGGATTCAGCAGCCAGCGCTTTAACCAGGGACACGTTTCCCTGTCCGCTCTCTGCCTGATTCCCACCCGCAATGCCCGGAGGCTGCCCCCGTGTCCCGCTCGTGTCCCGGCTGCCTCCCTCTGCCCACGCAGGCTCCTCTGTTGTGGAAACCTTGTTTTGGCGGGCGCAGGGTGACACGGGGATGCAGATGTGATGGGAAGAGCCAAAGGAGGAAAGCCGGAGGTTCGCAGGGGCTGGGTGCCGGTGTGCCTGCGGTACCGGGCACGGAGCAGTGACTGGCGGCGCTTACACGAGCCCTTGGGATGCTCTGGACGTTACTGCTGGGTTCCTTTCCATGCTGTTGTTCCCAAACACCCAATTAAGGTGCCGAAGGCTCGTCCCTGGAAGCTGGCAGCGCCGCCTGCCCGGCCCCGCTCTGACATTGAGCAAGCAAGGGGCTGCTCTTCCAGAAGAGTCCCTGTACATCCAGCAGGTATTAGGAACTGAGTCATGGGTTCAGCAGGATTATTTGGTGGTGACAGCACAGACTTCTTGCTGAGGATGGATTCAGCTCATCTGGAGGGTTGGGCACCCCGTGCCGGTGGGATGGATGTGCTATCTGGGCTCTTGGATTTTGGGAAGGGGGGTCTTGAGCATCTCCTGGCTAATACGTGCTCAGTCCTCGATGTTTTCCATCGGCCTCACAGGGATCTTGGGGGCCCTGCATGGACACAATGGTGGTAGGAGAGTCAGCTCCAGGCTGTGAGAAGCTGAAGTGCTCCATGCTTGGGCAGGGGGGTGACACCCTGCTGTGTGCCGGCAGCATCCGTAGGGAAGCATTAGGGATGTCTTGTGTTTCCCTGCCAGCGTCCTTCTGCTCCCTAAACCTTTTCCCCAAGCTCTCACAGCTCCCCCTGGCATTCCGTCACCCCCTTGACACCTGCCTGGGTTTGGGGCTGAGAAAGCATCACTGTTTATGGGGTGTACGTGTGTTGTCCTGTCCCCAGGCTGAGCTTTGTGGTGTCTGCGCTCCCTGGGGACCACGGCCTGTGCTGGTCTGTGCCACAGGAGCTGCTCCCAACAGCTTTGGGGACAGCTTTTTGGGTCCCTTTGGGTCCCTTCAGGCTTTGTGTGAGCAAGGCAGAGTCTGTGAGATGGAGAGAAGTGAGTGAGAGACCCCAGGGTGCTGTGGGGACAGCCTGGTGTTCCCAGTGGCATCCTGGTGGCCCCCAGCCCTGCTGCCCGGTGGCTCAGCTCCTGCTTGCAGGAATCTCGTCTGGCTGGTTCTGCTCTGGGCACGGGCAAATCCTGCACGGGGTCAGCAATTAACACGCAGGGCTAATTGCTCCACAGCAGATTAGCGCTGGGCTGGCCCTGGCTCTGATCCCAAACCAAGCCGGATGCCAGCACATGGTCCAGAAATCACCTTGTCCCAGGGCAGGGGTGAAGCTTTGCTCGGGGCATCCCGGCATTCGAGAGGAGCCAAGGAAGGAGCCGGGTGAAGGGAAGAGGTGGCTGGGAGCGTTTCCCAGCCCCGGCTCCTGCGTCAGCCCCGTGCTTGGGGAAGTAAAACCTTCTCCGGAGCGTGACATTCGGCAGGTTGGTAACTTCCTGCTGAGCTGAAGCAGGTTAATGATGAACCCTGGGTCCTCCTCCTCCTGCCCAGGGACCGTGCTGCCGCCGGCAACGCCGAGGCTTGAGCTTTCCTGGGCGGCCGATGAAGGCGGCTCTGCTCTTCCTGCTCTTGGGGTTGGCAATGTCACGGTGTCAAACTGCTCCTGCGTCAGCGCTGCTGCGGTCCTGAGCTGGCTGGAAAATGCCCTCCCACTGTGACACAGCTTCTGCCACCACCACCACCGCCGCCGTCGTGCCGTGCCGTGCCGGGCAGGGCTAGGGCTAGGGCTAGAGCCGTCCCGGCGCCGCAGCACGTAGGTGGTTGTGTGCGGGGTCCTGGCAGCGTGGCAGCCCCAGCCCTGGGCAGATGTTTCCTCTTGGGGGGTTCCCTTCATGAAGCCCTGCTGCTGGAGCACAGCCTCTCCTCCTCCGCGCGCACCCACCGAGGTTTGTCCGTGCGTTCTCCGTGCAGTTATCCCCAGGGATGCTCGTGTCCCGGTTCTCATGTGGGAAGGACACAGCGGCTGCTGCGTGTGCAGGGGTGTGAGTGTGTGGGGGCTCATGGCGCAGGGGTAGGAGGGTTGGGGTGCTGTGAAGAATTCCCCCCCTGGGAGATGTGGAGCCACCACAGCCCTGTTTCCGCAGCGAGCTGCTCCTGCGCGCACACCCTGTGAGGGCTCTGTGGGTGTGGGTGACAAGGTCCCTTCGAGAGGTGTACGTGCATGTGCTGGTGCACTGGGGTGGGTTTGGGTCCTGCTGAAATAGAGCAGGGAACAGGACTGGGCAGCTCTGGGTCTGTCTGCCCGTGTCCTGCCTCTTGCTCCAGGTAGCACGGAGCAGAGCCCCGGCTTTGGCTCCAGCCTGCTCTGAGCTCTCCTTCTGGATGCGAAGGCAGGGCTGGGTTTGTGATAGGCATCAACTTGATTTATTTATGCTGGATTTCATCTGTAGTATTGCATGTCTAGACGATCTCCCAGAGAGTTAGCTTAGGTCTGACAGTCTCTCTCTGCCACCTTGTGATTGTTGACGGGTACAGGTCACCGTTCTGCCTATTAGAAGGTGGGGTATCTCTCTAATCTGTCAATGGCCACTGCAAAATCTTGCAAAGATTGATTTTTACATTGTTCTTTTTAGACAGAAGATGATGTGAATGAGCTGTAAGAATCAGATGAGATGGATGAAGAGCTGCCCTGTGCTGAGGCGGATGGAGAAGTGTACTTTGCCATGGAGGATCTGGGAGGAGAGAAGCCCTGTGAAGAGAGCAATGATGATGTGTCCTGTACTGAGAGTGATGCGGCAGGAGACATGCCCTATACCGAGAGCAATGCATCAGGAGACATGCCCTGTACCGAGAGCAATGCACCAGGAGACATACCCTGTACTGAGACCAACCTCAAAGAAGAGGCACCTCGTGCTGAGAGCAGTGTGGAAGGAGAGATGCCTGGCACTGATGGCAACGGGGAAGGGGAAATGCCCTGTGCCGAAAGTGACGCCAAAGGAGAGGGATCTTTCTATGAGACTGAGGAGGAAGAAGAACCAGCTACTGAAATCCCTGCTGCTTCCAAAAGAATGTATTCCATTTCTTCTCCCTTGCGGGCAATCATCCGCCTGCGCCGGCGGTACCGCGGGCAAAAGAAGAGCCGGCTGCATTTAGAGCTGCCCCGAGAGAAGCCCTCCGAGCTCGTTCATACGAGGCTGCTTCAGAGGCAGCTTTCCCTGAACAGAACTGGCCTGTACGGCCCTTCCATGTCCCTCTTTAACCAGAGCAGCTTTGAAAGTTCCCAGTACTTCACCTTTGACACGTCTGTGGAGCAGTACGCTATGAAAAAATGCAGGTGGAAAAAGAACCGGAGGAAATCCAGGGTAGTGCTGTACCCAGATAAAACCAAGAGATACCTGCCAGCGGAGGAGAAGAGCAAGGCAAAACGCTGCCTCCTCTTGCTCATTGTCATTATCTTCTTCCAGATTCTCAATGCAATAGAGAACCTGGATGATAACCTCCAAAAATATGACCTAGATGGTTTGGAGAAAACCATGCACCGGGAAGTGTTTGGGCAGAAGGTTGCTGTGGAAAGCATTATGGAATTGCTGAAAGACTACCTGGCTACCCACATACACAACAAGCCTCTAGTCATCTCTTTAAATGGCCCAACAGGAGTTGGGAAGAGTCATGTTGGCTGGCTGCTGGCCAAACATTTTCGTTCCATCATGGACAATGACTTTGTGCTTCAGTACTTTGTTATGCATCACTGTCCCAGCGGCATGGCCCCGCTTACATGTGAAATAGATTTGTCTAAGAAGATCTCTGACATGGTCACAAGAGCCGAAATAGAGGAGAAGATCCCATTGTTTATTCTGGATGAGGTTGAACTCATGTCTCCAGTCCTGCTGGATACTCTCAGCCGATTCTTTGAGCCCAATCAAACCAATGAGTTCCTCAATGCCATCTACATTTTAATAAGCAACATAGGAGGTGGTGAAATAACCAAGTTTGTTATCCAGAATTCATCTGCTGAGATCCTGCGTCAGCAGAGGGGAGTTGAAGAACTGCTGAGCATCGTCCAGCCTGTACTGATCGATGCCCACCCTCTCTGGAAGTCTGCAGATATCATCCCATTTGTCCTCCTGGAGAAGACTCATGTCATAAACTGCTTCCTAGAGGAGATGAGGAGGGAAGGGCTGTATCCCGACCAGAAACATGTTGAAAACTTAGCTAGTCAGCTCAGTTACTACACTACTGAGGATAAGCAGTACTCCAGGATGGGCTGCAAGCAGGTTGTGGCCAAAGTCAACCTGTTGTAGTGCTTTACTGCAGGGACCAAGTCCTGCTGTTGGGATTTGCAAAGTTCTGGCCTTCTGGAGGAGTGCATTGCAGCAGGCTGTGGTCAAGGTGTCCTCCTCAGCCCCTCACTGCCCTTGTCCTGGTCCAGCTAGAGGGATGGCAGCCTTGTGGTCTCCGTTCTCCAGATGCTTCACTTGTTCCTAATGTTCTGTGAATAAGGCCTGGGCTACGAAGCCCAAGCAACCTCCCATTAACTGCGAGATGCTTTGTTCCTCACATGCTCATTTGGGATACTTGTCATTAAGGAGTTGTGAGATGAGAAGAGACGCTGTGAGGAGGAGGAAATAGTAACTGGGTTACTGTCCCTGCAGTACACGTAACCATCTCTCACTCCTGCAGGCTCACAGTCTTCAGCTCTTCGTTTTTCTTGGTCCTGGCTGGTGATGTGCAGAGCAGAGGCAGTGCTGGGTGCCTGGGAGAATTAAGAGGATCATAGAATCACAGAATCCCAGCCTGGTTTGTGCTGGAAGGGACCTTAAAGCTCATCCAGCTGCGACCCCTGCCATGGGCAGGGACCCCTTCCACTAGAGCAGCTTGCTCCAAGCCCCTGTGTCCAACCTGGCCTTGAACACTGCCAGGGATGGGGCAGCCACAGCTTCTCTGGGCACCCTGTGCCAGCGCCTCAGCACCCTCCCAGGGAAGAGCTTCTGCCTAAGAGCTCATCTCAGTCTCCCCTCGGGCAGGTTAAAGCCATTCCCCTTGGCCTGTCCCTACAGGCCCTTGTAATTGTGTAAAAGAGCAAAAAGGATTTGTGGCTCCTCATTCCCAATTGCAGGGCAGTCAGAGCTCTGCTCCCTCCAGCTCCTACATCACCACATGCTCCAGAGAATCCTTTTTGGATCTGTTCCTGAGCTATTGCTCTTCTGAGCTCATACCTGAGCTCACCTTTGGCACCTCCAGTGAGATTTGTGCCCTGCGAGTCTGTCTGGGCTCGTCTCGAAGGCTGCAGCCATAACCACGGCATTGTTTCAGCGATGCTGGTGGGGGCTCATCCCCAGAGCTCTTCTGCTTTTGCTCCTGGGTACCCTTCACCACCCCATTACCCAGGAAGCCCAAAATAGCAACTGACATGTATTAAGCAACACACACTGGAAAAGACAGTTGGGGCTGTCTGGGCCAAGTGCAGTGGGAATCCTGGGCTCGTTCCCACTTGTGCGAAGCCAAGAAGAGGTTCTTTGCCATTGAGACCTGGGGAAGCGCCTCAGGAAAAGCACATGTGCTTGTTCTGTGCAGGCCAACCGAGCAGGTATTTATGACATTGCCTTTTCAGGGTTTGGGTTTTGGCCTAAACCCCCTTCTACAATTTGCTGTGAATTATCCTCTACGTAGTCCTGCGGATGTTTGCACTGGTGGTTTGATTTGCCGCTTTGTAATGTGGGCTCCAGAGACTTCCATCACAAACTCCTGCTTCCAGAGCTATTGTCAGGAATGAATCCAAACGGTCCCAAATAAAATCATTTGAAGTACATTTCCTTTATTTGAGTGAAATGTGCTTTTCTTCCCAAATTTCTCTTCTGGACGGATGTAGCTGCATTTCCATGCCTGTGCTTCCCAGTGACTCACATTGGGATCAAGGCTCTTGGTGCACTGTGTGTGTGCAGCTCCTCAAGGTGCACTCATGGAAAGCCAGATCCAAACCCCACAGCGTGCAGCAGTGTGGGAGCTGTGTGCTGCACAGCTCCTCCATCCCCCTGAGCTGCACAGGGTGGACAAGCCTGGAGGCCAGCCAAGTGTGTCCTTGCCCGAGATGCTGCTGGGCTGGAAGGCCTGACTGGGGTTCCTTCACTTGCCGTTACCCATTGGAGAAGACTTCTCATGCAGAGGAGCCCGTGAGAGCAGCTGCTGTTTGCATGGCTTAGGGGGTGGGCTCTGAATGAAACTAAGCCACCTTCTGAACACAGTGGCCACAAAACGTGGTGTATGCGAGCTGGTCCCCATAGCTTAGTGACTTTGCTACCAGGACAGTTAATCCTGGTACTAAAAATCCTGGTTTTATCCTGGATAAGAAACAAACGACTCAGGGACCAGGATTCCCCTCCCTTTCCGGCTGGGAGCAGGACAGAAGCTGTGTGTTTTCTACCCAGCTCTCTTGTTTTTGGGAGGTTTGCTCCAAGCCCAATCCCCGTGGCAGGAGAGACATCACCCACCCTGCCTGGGCTTGGGAGCTGGAAGTGCCACCAGTGTGTGCAGTGCTGGACCGCAGGGGTGCTGCCGGAGCAGACACCCATGGGTGCTGCGTTGCAGATGGCTTCTGTCCCGTGTCCACCAAGAGCTGGGTGCGGGGTGGCTCTGGGCTCCCTGGGAGCAGCTCAGCACCCCGTGGCTCAGCAGTGTAGGGCCCCATGCTGCCTCTTGGGGAGATGAAGGACATGTTGCACTGTCTTGCCTCCCACTCCATCTTACCCCACTTCAGCACATCAAGTCCCTCCCTAAGCAAAGCTGCAAAAGGCATGGGGTGCATCGGTGCCCTGGGCACCCTAAAACCCGCCAAGGTCTTTGCCTCCCACAAAGCTCCTCTCAGTGCTGAGAATTGGAGCTCAGCTTTCTGCTGCACAAAGACCACCTCATCCCTTGGCCAGTGCTGGGGAGGACAACCTGGCCAGTGCTGTACATGTGCCAGCCCTCCTCACGCTCCAGCCCACACCACAGCCTGTACCTCTGGAGGCCTTCATCAGAACACACAGGAACCTGCAGGCCATGGAGAGGACTCTCCCTGCCAGCAGATAAGGATGTGGCCAGGCTGTCCCTAGCCCCAGCTTGCCCAGGGCTCAGATCCCAGCTCAGATGGCTCTTCACGGTGTCCCATCCCCAGTGCCCCCCAGGATGCCAGCTTAGACGTGTCCATACTGTCCTAGACCCCAAGCTGCTGCGAGAACCTCTGCAAAGCCACCGGCCCTGCCAGGCACTTTCAAGGCAGGGGAGCTGGCCCATGGTCAATCTGCAGTGCTGAGCACCAGGAGCCTGGTGTCTCATTTCTCAATGTCGTGTGTGCAAAGGAAGCTGGTCTAGGGGAAAGGAACCGTTAAGGACACAAACCTCAGTGTCCCCTAATGGCTGCTGTCGCAATATGGGGGAACTTTACAGCTCTGCCAGGACCACTGAGGTTCTCCTTCACTCGGCACAGGAGCAGCCTCCTGCTGCTCAGAGTCAGGAGGACCTCTCGAGGAGTTACTCATCACGTTGCTCATCACTCAGCTACTCCTACACGTACCTGCCCCACACCGTACCACACACCTGCTGTAGGGCTGTGCTGATTGATGGGCCTGGCTGGAGAAGTCAACAGCTCCTCCTGCAGCACAGCTGAGGCTGGAGGACAAAGGCACAGAGAGAGCTGAGGCTTGTCCATGGTCCCACTCTGTCTCTTGGAGGCTTGGATGCTCTTGGCATAGAACCCAAGGTTCTCATAGAGAGCTTTAACTTGATGGGTATGGCTGAAAGGGCATCTCTGTGGAAACATGCTTTCACCATAGACTTTGTCCTCCTTAGCCTGGATTTCTTTACCCAATTGCATTTTCCAGGGAAAACCCTGGCTGAACTGGAGGGATGGGATTGAAGTTGAAGGATGGAGAGAACCCTCCATGCTGGGGTACATGGACTGCTGGTCCTGCTCTTCCCCTGCACAGCCCAGCCGTGTATTGAAGGGCTGGTGGCAGCCTGGACTCCCTGACTCTGGAGGCATCCCTCCTGCCTCCCCTGCGCTGTTGGCTCCCTTTGCCTGGGGAAGGGCTCGTTTCTTTCCGGTAGCACTGGGCCATGGGTGTCACAGGACGCTGGGACAGCTGGTCCCAAGGGCCCATGTCACCAGGATGGGTCACCCTCCTGTGGCCAGCTCTTGCTGCCTAATGCACCGTGCACTCAGGAATGCGTACAACACATGATGGAGTAGGGGGCTGCAGAGGGTATCGTGCTGTGTTGTCCATAGACTCATCCATGAGGGATCTCTTCAGCCGTTCTTTACTCTTAATAGCTCCTTTATCATCCAAAGATCTAGAAATATGACTTTGGAGGAGATATTGACAGGGATAAAAAGAATTGCCGTGGCTGCTCATCTGTCCTGGGCCTTCATCCAGCTCCTCTGCATGCCCTGGGTGAATGGGGGCTGCCTGGTGTGCAGGAGCCCAGAGAAGCTGTGGCTGCCCCATCCCTGGCAGTGCTCAAGGCCAGGTTGGACACAGGGGCTTGGAGCAAGCTGCTCTAGTGGAAGGTGTCCCTGCCCGTGGCAGGGGTTGGAGCTGGATGAGCTTTAAGGTCCCTTCCAGCACAAACCATTCTCTATCTGCTATAGGCGTGGGTGTAGGTGGCCCTGGGAAGGCTTCCTCAGTTGCAAGAGCTCTTCCTGAGTCAGGCACACCTTCCTGTCGTGCTCGGAGCAGCGATTCATGGAAAGCAGCTCCTGCCCTTCTGCAGGCATGGCACCACCTTCGGCCTTGAGCAAAGCGCAGCTGGTTCAGTAATCAAAGCAGCACTGGGATAATGATTCCCCATCACGGGGTTGGCTGGGGCTCATGGGGTGAACAGCAGGTACTCTGCACCCTACAAGTGTATCCCAAAGCCAGAATGGTGTATGGGGAAATTCCCCTGGGGAAAGTGCAGTGTGATTCCCAGTAGGTGAATGTGGGCAGAGCTGCTGCTACTGCCTGTGAGAGCGTAACAGTGATGGAGGAGGGCACAAGCAAATACGAAACGGTGTCTGGCACAGCACGGGAATTGTGGCCACACTGGTCACGGTGTGGTCTGTGCTGACGGCTTCCCCAGGGCTGGGCTCAGGTCAGAGGGGCACAAGCTGCATTCCCATCACATCCAGCACTGTCAGACCTTTGCAGAGCGGCTGGGCTACCTCCAGGAGGTAGAAGATGCATGTGAGCACCAGCTCTGGAGGTACCAATTACCCTCCCCATATCAGCCACACCTGACAGCTCCCCACTCCCTGGAGACTTCTCTGCATGGCAGGAATGGGCTAAGCATGCTCAGAACCTATTTAAGCTCAGCTGGAGCCATCACTCCCTGTGGATGCTGTGCTCAAGGAATGCTGGTGTCCAGCACAGGTCAAGCTCTTCCTGATCTATGCGCTGCTGCTGATCCAAGACAGTCTGTAGCCTGTTGTTTCATCTTGCTCCATCACCATGGACCTGCCTGTTCAGTGCTTGCCCTAATCTGCAGGCTGGCTTCACATTGGACCCATCTCATCATCATGAGATGTGTTGCTGGATCTGGACTTTCAGGTTGCTCTGGACTCTTGGTTGGACCTGGCTGCTATCTCAGACCTGCCTGGGTCTCCATACAGGTACCATGGGATGGGTCCTGTTGGACTGGGTTCCTCCAAGTTCTCCCTCCCTGAGGGAGAGGCCTCTTGGTGCCCCTGATATGAGGGCACCTTGATGGGAGGGGGTGCCCAGGAAAGGCCATCAGGCCAAGTGTGCAGCTGTGGATGAACACTGAAGGGGGCCCTGTGGGCAAGGCACTGACTGCTTTCTCCCTATAGGTGCCTAAAGCTACAGGAGAAGGCAACATCCCTCTGGTATCCAGGGTATGACCTATGTTGGTAGAACAGCCCCCATGGAACCAGAAGAGCCCTTTTGCTGGAGGAAAAGTGGTTCCCAACACCTGCACCTCCTTCCCTGCTGAAGCAGCTTTGCTTTGGGCTGCGGGATGGATCGCTGGGTCTGCCCAGGGAAGGAGCAGCCTGGGGTGGTGCAGCAACATGAGCAGCCTGGCTGGTGAAGGTGTTGCCTGTGCTGTATCCCAGGGTGTGCTTGTACCCTAGCACACTGCTGCACAGCCTGTCCTCCATCCCAGTGGCATCTCTTTTCCATGCTAGTGTTGATGTGCCCCCAAGCTGTGTGTGGTTCTGACATAACCCACCACTGCGCCCTGCGCCCATGTGTGGACTGAAGCTCCTTCCTCCCACCCAGCTCTGGGTGCTTTGTCCCTGCCACATCAACTGGCAGCAAATGGCACTGGGGGCTCGTGTCTGTGGGTGTTCTGACTGGATGCTGGGTGCAGTAACCCTGATGCCTGGACAAAGAGTGGGCTGCAGAGAGACAGAAACAGCAAACCCCTCCCTGCTGGGGTTGGCAGTGGTGCACTGATGCCTTTGCTCGTGTCTCTCTGGGTGTTGCCCACGTCCCTGCTCAGCTGCAGGGCTCCTTTACTTTGCAGCTGGGCTCTGGGGTGGTGTCCCTGCTCTGCACCCACAGCCCTGGTCACCTCTAGGAGCATCATCCAGGACAATCTCCCAGCCTGTCTCTCCCATCCTCCCGTTGCAGGAGGGCCTTTAGTGATTCCCGAGGAGGAGCTGAAGGCTGACCCTCAGATTGCTCCTGCACCTGAGCTGGGAGGTTTGTCTTGATAGAGAGTGTGCTAATGTGCTGCTTTCGCCCAGCCCATGGGCTTGGGGCGCTGCAGGCGTGACCCCAGGTTCCAGGGCATCCCTGTACCAGGGACCCGGCTGCCTCCCCTGCGTGGCCCACGGCTGTG